TTATATAATTATATATTTTAAATATAAGAATTATATTTTTATTGATTATATTTTTCAAAAGTTTTTATCCAAGAAGAAACTTTTTTTGGCAATTAAGAAGAATCAGTTGTTCAAAGCGGATTGCTCCAAAATATTAGACCACAATGTGATGGCGCATAGTGGTCCAAAATCTCGAAAAGCTGACCAAACGTATTTACTGTATACTGTACACTTTATTGTAGCATAACAATACTTATCAATAGAAGAACTCTTCAGGATGCATGATATTTTGAGTGGAGTTCCACAAGATAGAGAAAACGCTCTTAACATTTTATACGTTAAAAAAACAATATTGCACAAGATCGCGACTTTTTGACATTTTATGACATTTTGCGAAAATCTGACAGCTGATAGTATCACCGGCGATCGTGAAAAAATTAATTAACGCTGTCAACAATTAAAACTACTTAAAAAACGATAGAACACGCGGTTAGAACTATAGGAAAATATAATTAATTATATTTATATAAATTTGTTTATAATAGCTTTTAATGTGCATCGGTGCGCACTAGTGCATCCAACTGATGAATTCATAAATTAAAAAATTAATTGAATAATATAATTACAAAAAAAGAATTAATAATGAAAAGTTATATAAATTAAAAGCATGATTTGATAATTTTTAAAATGCTTAATACTTTTCAAAAATAAGAAAAAAGTGAAAGCAATTTATTGTAAATATCTTCTACATGTTATATTTAAAAATTAGGAAAAAAATTAAGAAAATTTATTTCTCTCTCTCATTTTACATGCACATAAAAATACTTCAATTATAATTTATTATCGCTGTAGTATATACTAGAATGACAAAACATCTAATGTTTAAAATGCTTAATACTTTTCAAGAATAAGAAAAAAGTGGAAGCAATTTATTAGTAAATATCTTCTATACGTTATATTTAAAAATTAGGGAAAAAAATTATTAAGAAAATTATAATTTCATTTTACATGCGCATATACATAAAAATACTTCAATTATAATTTATTATCGCTGTAGTATATAGTAGAATGACAAAACATCATAGCGCAGCTAATAAAACATTAATAAATCCATAATATTTCCCCGCATTTTTGATCCACAATGTGTTTAGCACGGATATCCACCAACCGGTCGTTTTACCATGGCATCAAATAGTGTCTGGCCATGTAGTTTCGCTGGCTCTAAAATGGATCCAGGTAGCGCCACTGTACTAGCTAGGAAAACGGTCTCACGAAAAACGGCGTCGTGGCCCCTCTCAGGCTTCTCTCTGGTGCAACCGAGATCCGAGATGTGTGTTTTCTGAAGACGATAACTGCTATCAACATAAACATAATAGGTTGAAAGTACTCAAAAAAAAAAGGGAAAGAAAGAATAAGTAAGAATCAAAAGTTGATTTAATTTATCTCTTTTTGTCTGATATATTGTATGTTATTTTAGTAATATTTAATATAATTTATTATAGGTATATGAGAAAAAATGTATCTCAATATTTGGATGACTGACTCAAAAAGCTGATTAATTTAAATCTAATGTATGTATAGCTTAATTGTCTTTAAATAATTGTTCTAGTCTGTACTTTGAATAATGCATTAATTTTTTTTTTTTATTTATAACAGGATAAATTTTATACTATACATATTGTGATCAAATTTATTATTGATTAATTAATTGCTAGAATAAATCAATGCTATACTAGAAATTATTTTAATAGCTCGTATTATATATTGCATTATATTTAAATAAACTTTTATTAACATTGATATGTTAACTTCAAACTTTGATGATATGTGGTAATCAGATGGGGAAGAAAAGAAATATTCAACCTCCGCCAATAATGCCAGGGCGGATAAAAGTGGAAATAAAAGATGAAATAGGTAATAATGCTTGAAAGTATAATAATAACTTTGAGAAAAAGTACAAGCTATTAAAAATGAATAATTGTTTATGTTGTTGAGTTGTATATATAGCTTAGATTATGTTTATATAGGAGATAGTGATGTCTTGGTAGCGAGAGATCGTTTGAAAGGTGCTCTTCGAGAATTATTACAACATAGTGACACAGGTTCATCAGCAGACTCAGGCGAAGAAAGTTCTCCTCAGGATTATAAACATTCAATGAGAAAGATGTAAAGTTTAAAGCATCTTGTTGTGCAATATAAAATTATCTCTATATTCAGAATCATTAACATTTTGGTAATTACAATACACAGGACAAAATCCATTAATCTCCAACAACCGCGAAAAGTCAGACGTCGCCGACAAGTACAGACTGATACAGCATTTCATCATACATATGTGATGAAACTATTTGATCGCAGTGTTGATTTAGCTCAATTTCGAGAAGACACACCACTTTATCCCATATGTCGTGCTTGGATGGCCAATCAACCAAGGAATCCTAATTTGGTTCCTAAGTAAGTAAAATTATATAGATTCGCTTATGTATTTATTTATATTTGCTTATATTACCTATAAGTTTTTATCTCTCTCTCTCTCTCTCTTTGTGTACACAATTCTATATTCCTATACAAAATTAAAATAGATATATTTATTCATATATATAGAGTACGTAGCCCAAGTCCAGAAATAGTTAATGAAATTAATATAACAAATAATTTAATTGATGCTAATGGAGAGCTAAATGATGTCCATTATTTGCCAACTCCATTGCCTCGTGAGGAGGCCATACCAAGAAATCGCATTCCATCTCCTATATTCGGAGAGAAGGATGACTTAAACTTAGATTATGTGAGTCAACAATTTCGACAAATGCATAAAGTTCAAATTTTTTAATATCAAGATAGTATACATACATAAATTGTATTAAAATTTTTAAAATAAGAAAGATGTATCTATATTATATATATTTTCTGTTACTCGTATATTTTAATGGATACAAATTGCATGTAACATAACTACAGGAAGGACAAACTCTCAAATCACGGGAACAATTAATGAAAGAGCATATTACACGATGGAATGCTATTCGCAAAAAATGGCATCAGCAAGCACATAAAAATGAACAACGTTATATACAGAGTGCTACTATACTTAGCACCATTTTTACAAAGTTTGTATACAAATTTGTTTACTAATGTAAGAGAGAAACGATTTTTCTTTAATAAATTATAGTGATGTTACTAACTTTAATTACTTCAGGGCGCAAGCAGAGTTTGAATAGCAGAGATATGGCAGTCCAATGACTGCCAGTTCTTGCATCACTGATAATTACATTTCTGATAATTTTTATTACGTCATCAAGGAATAATTTCTTATTTGTCTTATTTTTCTACATAATTTCATTGGTAAGTGAATGCATAAAATAGGGCTATATTTATACATGTCTTATATGAATGCAATTTTTATTTATAATGCCCAGAAGTTGTAATCATGTTTTAATAACATTACAAAATATTGATTCCTCACTTTAATACAAAACGACATTGTAATACTTGTAAGTTTATTCTTTTAATAAAAATAAACGCAATATATAATAATCAATTTTTGTCTTTAAAACACCATGTTTTATAAAGAGCTTATGTGTACATACATAATCCTCTAATATAGTGTATCAATCAAATAACATACAAAAATAAAATTTACTTATCTCAAATATAAATAATATATCGTTAATCTATGCTATACATAAAATCTCTTTTGCATGTTCAATTAATTTTTCGCATAAAACTTTGGAAGGGGATGAACACACATTGATAAATGCTTATATGTAATTCCTAATAGTTCATTATATATATTATTGTATTGAAATATTACATACAATTATTATTGTAGATATGAAAAAGGATTTTCGTAAAAATGTTTGATTTGATTAAAGATGTTGGTTATCTTTCTGTATTATCCTAATTGCAATTATTACTGTGTGTGCACTTGTAAATTCATAGAAATAGAGATTAAAATTGAGGAGAAAGGACCAGACGAATAATTCTTGAAGGCTTGAGAATTACATGCCTTTTATTATAGATATTAACAGTCGTGACTTACATTATTTACTTTCAGTTAATAGGATTTACACAAACACTGTTTGATTGTTTGTCATTTGACTGTATTTTTTTTTTTTTTTTAAGAGCAATTGTAATTTTCAAGACTTCCCTATGTACTTATTAAAATGTTTAGGTTTCATTAAAGATTTCATTTCGTTTTATATAAAAATGTAGCTAAGAAATAAATAACATAATTTAAATTATTCACTTGATTAACTATTACTATATTATTTTCATTTTTTGACTTGCATCAACTATTATACTCCAATAACAAATGTTCATCGTAAGCAACATTATTATTCCTTAATGCACTTTGCAATCTATAAATTGTATAGGAAATGATTTTTCGTACAGCCTCAAGATGAGACTGGAAGATTTTTCACGTTTCTGGAAGTATACTGTAATAAATTTGTTTTTATCACTATTGCACACACACTTTGGAAGTTTATTTGTCTGTCAAAGATAGTTCTAGCACTTGGCGAAAGGTTTCTTCTTCTAACAATCGCCGTTGCTCCTCTTCTATTTGTTGTTGCTCGGAAAGTTTTAACGCTAATCTCAACTGTTCTGCTGTACCTTCGAGAGAGTCACTATCTTCATTTTCATTTGTACTCGCTGAATTTGTAGTACCTTCAGCAGATCCAGCTGTTTCTTGATATAACACCAAGCTAGCCTGAATCGCCCTGTATAAAAAAAAGATTAAGTTATTTAAACATAATTCAGCATTTTTATGATGCAACTTATGACGCAATTCTTTCCAGGATTTCAAAATAATAATTTTAAAAATATTTTATAATTTAAGGTCTAATCAATGCAATTTATATTAATTACAATACGAATAAACCTGCAGAATAATTTACCTGGAATTAATATTTACAATAAAATAACCCACCTGTCTAAACATTAATTGTAGCACGAAAAAACGCATGCATAAAGTTAATAATAAAATATATTTTCTCAATGCTAACATTTATTAAAAACATAACACATCTCTTGATAACATTCTCTTTAGTATGTGTTTATTGCATACCTCTGAAGTTGCCTTTCTTCCTCCGTGGTCATATTAGGTGTAGTTGGTCTAGATGGCTTTTGCGCTCTTAATGCTTCCCATATATCAACCTGTGTAAAATAATAATTTTCGTGTAAAAAAATAGGGGATCTATATATCGTATATATTATAGATACAAGAAAATTTTGAGAATTGTATAAAGCAACACAAATGTATAGAGCAACAAAAAAACGATACCTCATCACGTTCACTGCCAGCTTCTAGAAGACTTTGCTGAATAGCAAACTGCAACAAATCGTCTTCTTCTTCAATACTGAATTGTGTCCTGACTTCTGCACCTATATTCAAAAGTAATGTCCATTAAACACAAATTGATATATTACATATAGAACATCTGCATAAGCATTAACACCGACGAGATAGTATTAAAGACCGTCAGCCCTGAATAAATTTTTGTGATTATAGCTGCGTTCGGAAACCACCCGTGTGCACACGAGCGTCGTTTTATCTTTATTGTTTACTAAAAGTTGAACAAAGATAGAGCGACATTCGGGTGATGTTTGCGAACGTAGTCTATCAAGTGGGACCGGTGGGCTCGAAGGTAATTGAAGTATGTTGACATTACTGGCCGTTTAACTGCGTCGAAGATAATTACACAAATTATTTAATTCATATGGTTATTTTAGTTCATCCAGTTTTATTATCGAAAACACCGACAGGATATCATTAAAGACCGATGATCTTATGGGATTTAGCATATTACTGGAAAAAACTCTCCACGCGTTGCTGTAGGTAAGTAAATCTTTGTATTATCGATAATAAAACAATAATTTTAATAATAAAAAAAATTTTTTAAATGTTTACTTTGTTGTTCTAGACAGTTACATAAAAAATCTATACATTTTCGATAACAAAACAATAACTGGATTAACTAAAATAATGCGCAGCAAGTTTTTTTTTCCAGTCACACTAAATCCCATAAGACCATCGGTTTGTAATGATATCTCGTCGGTGGCATTAAACAAAAATTTTACCCAATTTCGCATATCCATTAGGTGCCTCGAAACAAATATCGTCGACTAAGCAAGTTACACGATTAGTTTCTTGCAAATGGCCCACATGCGGTACTTCTTGATCCAAACCAAATATATTTCCAAATGTTATTCTTGCATTGAGAATGTGAAACAGTGGAATTTCTGGAAAAAGATTCGATTATTAGTATATGTACAGTCGATACTGCATGATATCTATCATATAATGAATTAAGATCTTACCAATTTTAACAGGAAAACCAGCTGGAAGTTGCATTTGAATAAAATCTTTCAATTTTGCAAAATGTGAACTAGATATAGCCATCAAATCTACAATTGGCATAATTTGTTCTTGAAGACTTAATGGATAATCCTCGCTCAACCATAAAGTTGCCTAAAAATAAAAAACTTTTTAAATTATAATGTATAATATAATGTAATAGATGATAGATTTTTATATCAATTTGTAATACCTTAAATTTTTGGATTTTTGTATTAATTTCTTTTGGTCGACCTATATCTCTCCCATTTAGATCAACAGCTGGATCAAAATATTCCTCAATAGTTATGTTAGAGGGATTACCTATGTTATTAAATTCTTCCTGAAATATATAACTTGATAAAAATATGTTTGTTATATACAGGGTGTTTATATATATATGTATGTGTAAAATTACTGATTAAATATTATTATTGAGAAAAAGATTACACTGGTAGTGGTAGCACTGCAACTCTCCTGTTGCTGTTCTGCAATACCAAGAAATGATTGTAAAGGTGTTCTCGGTGCTCGGGCTCTTGCTTTATCTGTTTCGGATAAGTGTTCCAATCGGGTTTTAGTTATTAATTCCACATTGCTCGCGCTAAAAACTTTGCATTCGTGACCATTTATCACTTCGCTCTTATCGGAACGCCATCCCCATAGACCTGCTTTATTGCTATAATTTAACATAAATAATATTTAAAATAACTTTGAAATACAGAGATATCGGTATAACTATTACAATGATAATTATACCGTTCAAAACTAATTTTATCCGTGTCTATGTATGTCGTAACTATAGGATTAGTGAGCCGAGCTATCACCCCTTCTTCAGATGGTTCCATCAATTGTATATTATCATCTCCTATAAGTTTCATATGTTCGACATAAACTTTTCTTGTTTCATGATCTACTTCCATCATTGTTGCCCCATCATCTATAAAAATATCATATAAATTTCTTAGATTGTATTTATATTACATACTATATGAATGATTCATAAATATTCAGTTTTAAGAAGAGAAGAATCTATATTAATGTTATATTATATAAAAGAAAAAAAAACCATGTTTGATACAAAAATAATATATATCATATATTATATTATTTAATTATGAATTTATTAGATTATAATCAATATAAATTTATAAAATAAAATGAGAAAAAACGAGAGAGATGAGAAAAATTATATAATGTTCATATTAAAGGAAAACCTCCTGTGTTTATACATATTAATATCTTTATGTTTTTACTCTCTAAAATTCTACAAATTAATATCTTTGTTTTTACTAAAATTCTACATATTATACAATGCCTAAATTAAATGTTAGAGTCATATCACCTGTGTTATGACCACCCACACTGAACACATAACTGCGTTCACATCTAATTGCCATAGGTGGATTTGATGCAGCTTGCGTTAACACATAGAACTTAGTAACAAACAAATAAAATTGTGGCATTTCCAAAATATAATAATCAATTGCAATTTAGAAGAAAAAATAAAGTTATAAACTAATCATGCACAGTTGGCAATATTATAGTATCTATTAAAAATATTTATATGCTTACTTTGTCCTTTGAAGACATAGCTACGATTGCCGCGTTGCCAATTTGCATGATCAAAACCTAACAAAGTAGTATCTATCCTCACATTACTACCTTGTTTGTAAACTTTGTAGGTATCGCTTGGACACATCCGAGATGCAAGAGGAACTGGTCAACAAAAATAACAGCAGTTAATCACATGTGTTATTAAAGAAGATCAAAATAGATATTAAAATTGAAGTGTTAAATTCAAGTTATGGATTAATTAAATTAACCAACAATACAGCAGATTTTGAATATTACAGTCACAAAAACTTGTATTATTAAATCATTTGTTTCTCACCCCAACTTGTAAACTCCCACTTCATTTCTACATAAAAATCAGGTGCCTGAAAAAGATTCCTGTTATTAGGACCATCAAATTATCAATCAAGAATAAAAGGAAGTCAATATTATCAGTTCTTAAATAATAATCTACACAAGAAACACATAAGTTAATATTAGTTAACAGAACTTGTAGAAAAAAAAATTCTTTAGTCTTAGTAAATAGTTTTTCAGTGGCCAAAGAAAAAGTCATATTTGTAAGAAATGGATATATATTAAATTCCAACAATATATATTTTATTATTAGTTAAATTATATGATGACTGACCTGTTTAAGTTTATGAAGTAACTCTGGTATACCAGCAACTCGATTACAATACCTCTGGTAATCTCTCCTAGCGAGCACCAACTGTAGCAATTCAGGATTCCCTGTACCTACAGCTTCTTGGA